AAAAAACATATTTCTTTGAAAGTATCATATGCTTTATCGCTATCAATATTTAAATTAATATAAATCAAAAGTTAATTTTGTATTAGTGATATATTCGCTTTATTTCTCTCATCTCACCATTTTAAAATCTTAATAGAAAAAACTCTTTCTGTGAGTGCCGAAGTTGCAGGAATAGAGAGCATAAGCGAAATAATTTTATGTAAATTTGGTAAATCTTTCTAAGTATTTTTAAAAATATTGCCATTTTTGATCTGTGGACCCTTTGTTTTAAAGTATATTTATTTTAGTATTAATATTTCAGTATAATGTCATCCATTTTAAAACATCTCTTTCTTACAAATAACTGAAACATATTTATATTTATAATTGAAGAAAAATAGTATTTTTGCAACTATATTTTTTTCCAGCGGTATATGGTACGCAGACCCAAAAAATAGTACGATACTATATATTTTAGTACGGTTGGCAACCCTATACTTACCATTTTGCATCAAAAACTAAACATTGCGGAAAAAATGGGCTCGGCACCTTTTCACCTCTAGGTAGCGATATAATTTATGGCGAACAAGGACCAATATTCCAGAAAAGTCTGCCAATGGACTCGTACCCAACCATATTCCTGGCGGAGGTCTTCGCAATCGAAGTCGGATATTCAGGAAGCGTTAAAGGCCTTCGATTCTTTTAAAACGACATCAATGCTTGTAAACACTTTAGCCAACTGGGAGCCCACAATAGCGCAACACTCTTGAGCGTTGAGGGACATGAGGGGTTTGAAGGCAACAAAAGGGCTGACTATCTCGGAAAGCATGGAGCCCAAATGCGTTTGCATGATCCCGAACCTCTCTGCGGTACATCTAAAGGATGCACTGCAGACCTACTTATTAGCTGGCTGAGAATAATCTCAAATTGCTGCCCCCTGGCGGAGTCAAAGGGAAAAAGACAATGAAAGACATTCATAACTCTTTCCAGGAGGAACTCCGAAAGACACCTTGAACTTAGAACTCTTCTGGCAACCTGAACACTACAAGTTAACGTACCGTTTGAATTAACTTGGTCTTTCTGTAGAGACGATCTGTAGGCTTTGTAGGCTGGTGAAGGAAACCCCAGAGTATATTGTGTATGTGCGTTTAGGCGCGACTGCTAACACCGGGCGCCAAAATTCGTGGTAAGTACTGCGGCATGTCCAAAATTTCCCTTATGCAATTTATGAAATGTTTGCACATGCACTTCTCAACTGCCATGTAATTGAACTTTCTTAAGTTTCAATTATATGGCACTTCAAAGTATGCTCTGCCTAGTCGGATGCATCCTCCGGACACTGCTTCCGGAGAATTTTGCGGACTCTACATGGCTTACAACCATGCATAGGTGGTAAACGAACTTTGCCATTGGTCACAGTGCCTACCCACCTTTTCGATGTAATAAATATTTTGCAAACATACTAGTCTCCCCTCTCAATGAGTTATTCAATGTGCCTGTCCACGAAGCATGAATCGTAGATTCATACACCTTGGAGAACGATAATAATATCGTCACTAGACACGAATAAAAATGCTCGGGTGTTTTGACGACGAAAAAGGACACTTGAAACAGATTTGCGAAAAAAGACGCTTAAACATGGATTCAACATCATTCCGGAAAAACTCTTTGGGGAATGCGTATACTGCTATACTCGCAAATACAGTTGATCGAGAACATAAGTTTAAGGGGGTTGCTTCGCCGTCAAAGAGGTTAACGAGGATTTCTTTGCCTTCACCTATGTTAAGAGTCTTTCTATGCCGAAATTTGTTTTCCGCGTCTTTTTTCGCTGTCAACTTTTGAGCTAGCGTCTTTATTCGCATCTAGTTACGACATGTATGGATGTATGTGTAAAGAGACATTCATTTGGATAAGTCTGTACAGTAAAATGAATCGTTATACGCAGTTAATTTGTGTTTTTATTACTAGCTGTGTTTTAGTTTTACTAAATGTGTGTTAGCTATGTTTTTAATATTTAATAAATTTGACAATGAAAAAAACATATATTAAAACTCAAAAAAAAATTTGGTAGGTTTTGGTCGGTTATGGTGAAAAATTTTGGTAGGAATAAAAATTTGTCGGTTTATTTGTTTGTTTATTCTTATAGATTTAAGCGCTCTGTTACATGAACGCCCCATATTATATTTTCGTTTACACTTGCGACAGAGTTGCGACAGATTTGCATTGACTTCAGTTTATCAAGAGATATAAGAAATGTATCTGAAATGTGTAAGCGAGTTTCCATACTAGTTGTGACGGTTAATTTACAAAGTTTTAACAATGATAAGTTTATACGGTTTACAATGCATTAATAGATTTGATGAATACCCTTAATATCATATCATAAATAAAGGTTTATCCGAGTTTTCTATTTTGTACAAAATTTAGAAAAATTTAAAAAGACCATCAAAATTTTCAGTAGAAACATAAAAACAACACAAACTAAAAAAGGTGGAAAATTCAGCACTAACAAAAAATTCACAACCAAAAAACGTAAAAGCAAAAAATCGCTAATCACTGCTTCCTTGGACTAGCAATAGCTGTTGCTATATATAAGAGGTTTTTAATTCAAAGTAAAAAAAATACCGATAGTGAAATATCACTAATCACTGGTACGAATGTGTTAGAAACAATCGATCGATTTCCCTCTGCAAAAGTGTTTTTTGTTATTACAACAATTGCAAATGTAGTATGTATGGATGTCCATACTATGCTGTAAATGCCTCAAATCGCCTAAAAGCAGACTACACTGGAAATACTCTTCGCCGTGAAAGCGAACGAGCGAAATGAGTGAATTGTATATATGTACATAAGTGCGAACGAATAAGGGTAAGTGAGGTGTGTGCCTTGTATGTATAAGTCTAAGGTGTGTTAACCTCGGCGAAAAAGCCTGGAATTCAAGAAAATTTAGTGTTTGAAAGAAAATCTTTAAATTTACCTATGTACATATATTGCAGCTAGACGTGAAATTACAAAAAAGTGCAGACATTTTTCGGCATTACAATTAGTTCACTTGCGCGTGCAACAATGACAGCACCACCCCAAATGCCGCTCGCCACCTTCACGCTCACTATATGAAAAGGTATTTTACTATTCACTTTGCCTAGCCAACCACTTTAGTTAGAAACTATTCAGCCTTATCGTCATTTCTATGTGAATAAACTTTTCCACTATTTAACAGAAATAAACAAAAAGAAATTGAGAACAATTGTTTTGTTTTTTTTTTTATAATAATTGCGAATAGGTACCTATCTGTTCACTTGGAATTCGTAATAAGGCCGATTGTAAATTACTACATTTCTTACTTACTTATCCTTTTAGTTTTACACATATCCTCATTCAGGTGCCTAAAACGAATTATTGATTTTGAGTTTTAATCCACTAGGAGTGTGTTGTGTGTGTATCAAAAAACCACTTTTGCGATGAACGTTTGCCTGTGTGAACTGTATATTAATTCCTTTTGTTTAATAAAACGGCACAATTTCAAGTTACCAAAACACTTTCACTGCAAATAAATAATTTATAATTTTTTAGCATTGCCATTTATTTCTTAGGCTTAGAATAGCATTTTTTACTCTTTAGTACACTAATACTGGTATACATTCATTGTAAAATATGCACCCACCAATCCATATGTATGTACTTCCTCTCGTACACACGCACACATACACGCACTGGTGTCGTACTGAAGTTTTCTTTCGGCCTTATTCTAGGTACACACACAAAAAATTTAAAATTGGCTATAAGCGAAAACCACTTGCATTAGCTTGCGTTGCTCCCAAATTTTCAAATGCCGATTTTCTTCTTGGAAAACACTTTTTCCGACTTTTTTAGTAAACTTTTCTTACACACACTACCGAAAATTGACTAGATTTTATAAATTTTTGCAATTTTACAAAGTTAAAAATGCCCCCCCTGCACAGCTTTTGGTAATACATCTCACACTCACACCATTTTATTGAATCTTTTTTGCACTGCTAATACACCACAGTGCACTTTGCCGCTAGTAAATCCGGAATCGTCCTGTCACGAGCAACGCAATCGACACAATGAAGCAAATGAGCAAGCTGCTAAACGAGCGAAGCTGAGCGATATTCATACATATCTACTGTATGCGCGTGGAAAATCCTGCGCTCACCACCGTCGAGCGATGTCAACACAACACAGCAGCACAGTCACCACCATCACCACATTTTCAGCAACAACACAAGTGAGCAGCAATCATGCTTGCGGCACTCCTAACGGTGTTTCAACCAGGGTTGTCACTTTGGTATATTGTTACCAAAATTGGTAGAAAAAATTTGGGTTGGTAAAAAGGTAAATTTTTTTTTCATTTTGGTAGGTTTTTGTTGAACTTTTCGTTCCCGATTTCTTTTTCGTAGTTATCTTTATATTATACATTTCTTTGCATACTTTTTATATACATACTTACATACGTATAAATGTATATCGATATAAGGCGAACATGTCGTGCTCCATTCAAAACTCATTTTACTGGAATCCCGAGGAGCTTTTGATTGCCTAAATGTCTTAAATGATTATTTAAATACATATAAAGAAAAAATTGACAGTTATGTAAGACGCACTATGATTCGCAAAAAAAATAAATCAACGCCATTTTTTATCAATAGAAATTGTTAAATAAAAAAAACAAAAGACTGGCGGCAAAAAAATTAAAAAAAAATCCACGGGAAGCACATTATGAGCTATACTTAAGCAGTATTTGCTTTAAAACTTGGTACCTTAAATTGTTCTAAAAATTCGGAGTAAAAAATTCGAGATTTGGACGAAATTTTTTTGAATCTTTCTAAATGTTATAAATAGTGTATAATTTTATATAGTATAATTTTTATGGATTTAGTTAAAGCAACAAAAAATTTTTACTTGAAAAACATTGCGAATAATAAAAAAATCACCAAGTGCTTTTTTGAGTCACTGTATTTGTCTATAATAACTCGAGTTGAAGTTTTTCAAATTATGAAGTTTCGTTGTTGCCTCTAGTTTCATCACTTCCGCTTTTGGTTGAAGGAAACTGAGAATATGCCAATAATATCACTCAAATACCTTATAATTAGTTAAATAAAAAGTTCCTTAAAAACAATTTTAATTCTTATTGAAATAACTAAAAAAAATTTAAAAACAATAGTTTTAATTAAAATAAATAAAAAATAACAAAACTATTGTTTTTATTAAAATAACTTTAAAAAATGTATTGGTAGATATTTCCTAGATTTGGTAGATTTTTCTCAAGCGGATGGTAAATATTTTTTTTCGTCAGTGGCAACCCTGGTTTCAACGTCAGTGCTGAGAGCGTTAGATAAGCTAAAAAACATTTTGTTTACATTCACTCCAATTCTCTCTTTCTCGACGATTACTACTAATTCCAATACGCTGAATCAAATTTGATTTGACAACAAATGCTCTCCCACTTTCTTCTCTCTGTGCTAAGCAAACTCCCCCAACTACGGCATTTCCCGGTTTATCGTGGAAAAATAGTAAACTGATACATACAAAAAAAAAAAAATTAAGTAAATATAAACAGAAGGAGGAAAGCTGAGCGCACGCTTGAGGCACATGTGTAAAAGTTGTTATTTTCCTTATTTCATTTTGTTTTCCTACAAGAGTGTGCGCAATAGTAGACGTAGATAAATAATGGCCCGTAGTCATAGTCAAAATAAAGTCGACTTTAAAGTTAGTTGCAGCTTTTTTGACAGATATCCCATTGAAAATTATGTCAAAAAGCTGCAACTAACTTTAAAGTCGACTTTATTTTGACTATGACTACGGGCCAATGTATATTTATACATATGCAAAAAACTCCAAGACTAATCTCTAAAGAGAGCATTCCGAGATTACTCTCAATCGGGTAAAATTGGGCATTAATTAGTCCCAACTAGGCTCATACGGGTATTATTGGAGATCAATTAATGTCGACTCATCCCTTACGGGTATAATTGGAGATCAATTAGTCCCGACTCATCGCTAACCGATACTATTAACGATTTAATGATATGCACGTAGTCAGCGAAATTTTACGTGCGGCGTTGGCACAGAGAGAGAGATTATTCGCTTAACAAAACTGTGAACCCCGGTTCGAGCCGCAGCTTGGCCCAAATTTTTTAAATTGACTAGTCGCTTTTATACCCGTTCGGGCATAAAGGTGAAAAATTTGTCCCTTCATAAGGCATGCTCGAACAAAAGCGAACAGTTCATTCCAAATTTATTTATTTATTTATTTATTTGGTCTACAGAAAAATGGTTTCTTATAGACAAATGAGAATAGAACAGTTAGATACATAGTAATTTATAACAATAATAATAATATTAATAACAACATAAAATAGCAGGTTTGGTAGCTGGCGAGGCCTAGTCTTCAGTCTACTTTTGTGTGCGGCGGGCGGAAAGACCTAGTTTCCGCTCCGCGCTGCGGACAGGCTGTTGATCAAGGTCGGTAAGGCCGGGTTTCCGATCCATGTTCCCGAAGACATTACTTTGTATGTGTGGCAGGCGGAAAGCTCTGGTTTCCGCTTCGCGCTGTGGACAAGCTGTTAATCATGGTCGGAAAGGCCGAGTTTCCGATCCATGCTCGTATTGTCTTATGCGGTCGCGAAAATATACGAAGCCGATTACAGTTGTACTAAGCAGTCATAGATATTGTGTAATTTATCGTTCCCGGTTAAAGATATTAAATTATTTAGTTACAAAAAAGCGATTCACGTTTACATACGTTTACCTCATAAATTGAACAGAAATACAGTTCACCAGCTGAACGATAAGGTGCAATGTAAGGGTTTACATGTTATTTATTCAAAATCTCAAGTAAGGGTTTCTTAATGGTAACATGTGAGTCGGAGGTGTCAAAATAGTCGTAATGCTTATTAAAGTCCTGGCATAGGCAACGAAAAGCATCATGCATTTCAAAATTTGTTCTACAAATAGTTAACTTAATGGGCTTGTAATGTCTAGAAGGAATACAAAACGTGATCTGGTTCAGTAGAAAGGGACTATTGACCACCCCGTTCAAGATCTTAATCATGAACTAAACCCCGAGCATCTCTCTACGGCTGTGCAGCGTTGGCAAATTTATGAGCTTCAAGCGTCTTTTGTACGGTGGGAGATTTAATGTCGAATCCCAAGGCAAATTATTTAATGCGAGTAATAAGAATTGTTTCTGTACCGACTCGAGCCTGTCAGAGTGCGTTTGATATCTAGGGTTCCATACGACGGACCCGTATTCTAAGATCGGCCTGACTAGGGAGGTGAAGAGAGCTTTAGTGACATAAGGATCTTTGAATTCTTTAGCCCAACGTTTGATGAAATGGTTACGCCTAGATCGATTAAATTAGTTACCTGATCAACACTATGTTCACAAATGCGGTAGCTAGAGAAACACATAAATTTCTACTTTTTCAAGTTAAGTGACATAGAATTTACTTCGCACCATTTAAACACATTAATAAGGTCCACCTGTAATTGTTTCCTGTCTCCTGGGGCACCAATGAACTCAAATAACTTAACGTCGTCTGCGTACATTAAGCAATTCGAATACTTCAAAATATTTGGAAGATCGTTGATGAATAAAATAAACAGAAGGGGACCAAGGTGGCTACCTTGAGGTACACCTGACGTCACATGAATTACACGATCCAGCGCAGCAGGATTGGGGGGAAACCAATTTCATTAAGTTTGTATATTAGAGTTGAATGAGATACTTTATCAAAAGCCTTGCTGAAATCAGTGTAAATGACGTCAGTTTGATAATTACTTTTGAAACCATTGTTCAAATTTGTAGTGAATTCAAGAAGGTTTGATACAGTTGATTTACCTTTACAAAAGCCGTGTTGTGATACACCGATAACGGGTGTTATGGAATAAGTTAGTTCTTCCGTAACGATTTCTTCAAATAATTTAGGAATGGCACACAGCTTAGCGATTCCCCTATAATTCGCAATATTCGACCTGCTTCCATTTTTATAAAGCGGCAAGATATACGACTCCTTCCACAAAGAGGGGAAAACTCCTTGCTTTATAGAAGCATTGAAGATGTTTGTTAATGGCTTATATAGATAATCAGCACAACTTATTGGGACATAGGAGGGAATACCATCCGGGCCACTTAGAAAATAATTTTTTAAACTATTTAAATGAAGGAGAACATTGTCAGCGGAGATGGAAGGAATACGGATGTGGTCAAACTGTGGGAGTGAAAAAGGATAGCTAGAAGTTTTTTCATTTGGCTCGACAGAATAGTTCGATAGTGAATTCAAGAAGGTTTGATACAGTTGATTTACCTTTACAAAAGCCGTGTTGTGATACATCGATAACGGGTGTTATGGAATAAGATAGTTCTTCCTTAACGATTTCTTCAAATAATTTAGGAATGGCACACAGCTTGGTGATTACCCTATAATTCGCAATATTCGACCTGCTTCCATTTTTATAAAGCGGCAAGATAAACGACTCCTTCCACAAAGAGGGGAAAACTCCTTGCTTTATAGAAGCATTGAAGATGTTTGTTAATGGCTTATATAGATAATCAGCACAACTTATTGGGACACAGGAGGGAATACCATCCGGGCCACTTAGAAAATAATTTTTTAAACTATTTAAATGAAGGAGAACATTGTCAGCGGAGATGGAAGGAATACGGATGTGGTCAAACTGTGGGAGTGGAAAAGGATAGCTAGAAGTTTTTTCATTTGGCTCGACAGAATAGTTCGATTCAAAATAAGTTGCAAACATATCAGCAATCATATCATCATCACTAGAAATAACATCATCTAATTTCAGTGTTGAGGGAAACCCATTTATTTTACATTTTGAGTTAACAAAAAGATAAAATGACTTGGGATTAGAAACGATGTTAATGCGAGTTTTATTAATGTAATTCCTGTAACATTTTCTGTTTAAGGCATTGTATTTATGACGAAGGATGGAGTACGCGGCGTAGTGTGAAGACAGGCCTGATTTTTTATAAAGTTTAAATGATTTAGTTTTCTAATTTTTTAAATGCTTTAGCTCTGAGTTAAACCACGACGAGTTACG